CAGTCAGGACCACAGTTGGCGCGGAGTTTAGTGAGTTTGGGGGGCTCAGGGGCTTGGGAACCTGGCATCACCATAGTTTTACCTTGTGCTGGGGGTTCAGCAAGACGACTCGCAGCTCGCGAGTGTGCTCGGTAACCTGGACATCTGTACTTACAGGAACAATCTTCTTTTCTCCCCTTCAGGAGTGTGGTGCTTTAGTGAACTGTTTTTTGTGAAAGAGCCTCAGGATGTTACTGTCTCAAGGAAGGATCCGGTGGTTTTAGACTGCCAGGCCCGTGGGGAAGCTCCTATAACTATCACGTGGCTGAAAAACGGAGGCAAAGTATCTGAAAATGAACGGATCTACGCTTTATCCAATGGCTCGTTATATATCAGTGAGGTGGAAGGAAGGAAAGGAGAGCTGTCTGATGAAGGATTTTACCAGTGCTTAGCAATGAACAAATATGGGGCCATTCTCAGTCAAAAAAGCCACCTCACGCTAGCAAGTAAGTCCAGCTCCTGTTTATTAACCTGCTCCTGAGTTTGTGAGAGCGATTCCCTGAACAGCACCCAACAACCTATTGATTTGCTTGTCTACCTGACCAGACAGATTATAAAAGCAAAAAGCAAGTCAATTCTGCAGAACCTTTGTTTCTTTTTAAATGTGTGAAGTTGATGAGCAAAACTTGCAGTGGCCCCTTTTTGGGTCCTTGATGTGGCAGGAGCGATGCAGCCAGCTATGAGACCCCTTGGGCGGTGGTGCCTTGTGTGGGTGGCTGATGTGATGATTCTCTGGTCTCCAGAGCAGGTGGTGATGCAGAGTCGTGCTGGCAACCTGCTACAGGAGTCCTGGGGCTTGTTTCTCAAGTGCTGCTCAGGCAGCCTTACAAGGGTTATCTACAAATCTGATTAAGAAATTATTATTCCTTGTTCAATAGCTTGATGTTGTGTTGTGCTGTCTGGGGGCAGGGCAGAACGACAATAGAGATGGCTAGTTTTGGGAGGGGAAAGGTTTTCTGGCAACTGTGAGGGTTAAAGTACCAAGCCCTTGCTTTTCTGAGATGTGTGTTCAGCCAAGCAGAGGTGGGTGCTGTCCCTTTAGGGACTGCTTCAGGGTCCTCTGGAACCAGCTCAGGGGCCTGTTCTGTGATTCCCCTAGGAAGTGAGATGCACGTTTCTAGGGTGACTCCCTGCCGCTGGATGAACAGTGAAGGAAATAGTTGTGTGTACGCGCCTTCATGGCTTTAGCAGTCTGACCCTGAGCATGTTGCCCTCCATTCTCCTAGCATCTTTAAACGTATTGAGCAAGGAACTGAATGCCATGCCAGAGCAGAGTTTTGCCAATAGCATGCTTCTACAGCATTGTCTTTTTTGCTTTCCAAAAGTATATGGAGTCATTTCAAAAAAAGTGTAACACAGACAGTACACAGTTTAGTCGTCTTATGTTAGGGAACATTATATTATATAATATATATATATTATCCTATAATAGGACTTAACTGATGAACTTAATCTAATTGGAAAAGGTTTCCTTTGACCTCTTCAAACCCTGTTCTTAGTAGCAAGTTGCACAAAACCGGTGCTGATACCTCTGCAGAAACTTGGCATTAGTTGTGACTTGAAAGTTTTACCAAATTCCGTTTGAAACTACTTAATACGATTGGTACGTTAGCTTACACTAAAAAATGTCCGAATGATAACATTGGTTAGGTTTTTTTCTGTGTCTGATTTGGTTATAAATTCTGTCCATAAGATACCCCAGGAAGGTGTGAAATACCTTGTTCAGTGAGTTGGAGTGTTGAGCAGTTGAAAACTAGCCTGGAAGCAGGTGGCTCCAAGGGAGTGATGAGTTTTTCACATGCTGTAAGATGCTGATCTGTGAACTTTCCACTTCAAAAACCTGTTTACTTATGACTTTGTATCACGGTATCCTACTCATATACAGGATTAATAGACCAAGCAGTTCTTGGACACTTTTGATAAAATGTCAAAAAATGAAGTATTAATACTGTTGACATTTAAATTTGCATCATTAGGTTTCAGAGCGTCTTTGGAAGATTCAGGGCCATTTAAAATCTGAGATATTGCAGGATAAGCTCTGTGCTTGATATCGGAGAACTTCTGGAATGGTACAGAGCACTATAGTAGTACAGCATGGTAATACACTTGGAGTATCTGGTTTTGTTTAGTCAGTACTGAACTTTTATAAATGCTGGTTTCTCACATGCTTGGTTCAGTTTGGTTTTGATTTTTTGATAATGAAAGATTTTTACCAAGGAAGTGTTGTGGACTAGTAGATCGCATGCTGTGGAGTGAGACTCTTTTTTGTAGCTTTTTTTTTTCCTTTCTCTCCCATCCCCCACCCCGTAAGACTGTGACAAAAGGTTTCTTTTTCTTCTTTGAATACTTGAAAGGTTTCCTATGGCTGTTGGAGAAAACTAGAAGAGATAGTGGATCCATAATGATCACAGTAGGTGTTGTTGACTTAGTGATTAAGTGGTTAACTAGTGACCAAACATGAAGTTATCCTATGTAGTAGTCTCTTCTTTTTAGTTATATGCCAAACTGACCGGTTTCAGAACATCATCTTTACTGTAAAGCTGTGAAATAAGACTATAATTTGTATTATTATATTTTGAAGCCCATAAAATGTACAAAATTAGTTTTAGATCTCATTTTTACAGTGTTTCTGCCTACTATAATGAGTTGATTGAACTTTGCAGATGTTTTCAGTGAAATAAATTAAAATCTTGTGGGGGATTTTGTAGGGTTATAATTTTATTTAGAAGCAGTTGTCGGTTGCTGCAAAGGCAAATTACCTTGTGGTCAGGGTACAGAAGGAACTATACATATTAAACAGGTGGAGAACAGGCATTAAATGGGCATTCTTTCTTTGGAGGAAAAAAGCGAATGCTCTCTTCAGTCTCTGGTAACAGCAGGGTGCGAGGATGTTCTTTTACTTTGCCTGGTCAGAGCTTTTGCCAGTAAGCTTATCTTTTGCTTCGGAATTGTAATGTTTAGTGTTGCATTTGGAAATCAAAAACTTTAATCTGTCCAAGAGTTTAAGATTTGAACACACAAGGAGATCAGGTCTTGGTTGCTAAAGTTAGGAACTGGAAGCCGAAGGTTGCACTCTTGGCAAGAATTCCATTATTCATGTGCAAATTAAGAATTCACAGGGTTAAAAGGTTAGAAACTGGCCAGGATGAGGTTTACCCTTGTGATAAAGAGCAGATGACCCTCATTCATTGGCCAAAGCTTTCATGTAGCTCCTCTGCAAAGTTAGTGATTGCCATGAATTGTTCTTGAGGAATGCAGAAATTCAAATGTGAGCAGGCCTTTCCTTAAGTGTCACTATGGAGCCTTATCTCCCCAGCACATCAGAGTAGGTCTGCAGGGACAGGGTTCCTCCCCAGAGGCCCCAAGGCTTTGCTTTCCTGTTGTTCATCCATGCACAAAAGAATTTGACTAATTTAGGGCTTTTTTTTTTTTTTTCGGTGAGATCCCCCTACTTTTTGAAAGGAGAGCGTGGTGTTGAGGTGTCGCTTAGGTAAAAATAAATATTAGTTTCACTATATGCTTGTAGTTGCTTCCAAAGCAGGCTAATTGACGTGGGGGGGGAGAGGAGGAGGTTCCTTTGTGGTTCTTTGTGAGGCAACATGTGGGGGTAAAATGCTAATAGTGAAGAGTATGACTTACTCAAAGTTCAACTTACTGCTGCTGAGAGAGGTCTCTTTTAACAGAATATAAAAAGAACGTAGACTGTGGAGAAAGTCTAAGTGCTTTTAGTACAACTTTGCATCAGCCAAAAAATAAACAAGCTGAAATTTTTGTGTTTGTGAGCTTTTAATTTGCGACTATTCAACCACAGTTAACTAAGGTTCTGTCTAAAAATTCAGCTAGACTTCCAGTAAGACAGTATTAAGAAAAATGGAGAAAGTGGATCATGTTCTGAAGCTAGTAACGTGGGCTTTGGGCAGTGATTGGACAGGATGCTCATTGTTTACTTCCTTTTCGCAAAAAGTGGAAATTGAAGACTTAAGATGGTTGGATGGGATGTATACAGCTGGGTAGGAGCATGCCTAGGTAACCCTTTCTCCTCTTGTAACTTGGCTGAATTGATTTGAATGTTTGTGAACTACAGGAAATGAAAGCCCAATTCTTCCTGTACAGGTTTCTGCATTTCACAAGGATGAGTGATGATGCAGGCGGAAGGTTTCTGGAGGGAAGCTGTGTGTGCAGGCTGCACTGCAGTTTGTGAAACGCTGGGGCTTTGGCATGGAGCAGCCTAGACTGTGTGCAGAGCTGGTCATTTCCCTTACCTGCTGTGGCAGGGATGTGACTTCTCGTCCTACTGGCACGCCAATAATTGGCAATATTTCTGTTTTGATATCCTAGTGACTTCTTTTGCTCTGCTTTTAAGTACTTGCACTGAAGACTGCATCCAGCTGAGCCTTATTCTGTACTGTGACGATCATGTTTTCTTAGCAGTTCCAGCTGTTTGTTCCCACTTTTGCATTGTGCCCTTCCCTGTGTGAGCACAGCTGCACGTGTGGCTAACTGAACAGGGAATGGATCTGGGTTAAAATAATAGAATTAAAACAAAAGATGGTGTTTAACCCAAATAAATTCCCTGATGCAGTTTGTCGTGGAGCCACTCACAGTGATTGCACTGGCATAACTGAGAGGAGTGATGTGGAGGTGGGAAGGCTTAGCAGGGACAGAGGAAGGCTGCTGAAACTCAGGCTATTGCAAAAATAAGTGTTCATCAAACTATGGTCTCTATGGAACATGTGTGTAAGCAAAAATTTTGCAATTTGCTGTGAATTTTTCTAATTAATTCTAGTACCTTGCCTTAAATGAAAGGATTAATAGCTGTGGTCTTAACAGTATAGTTTTCATTGTGTATGGAATCTGTAATTCCAGGTATCTTCCAAATGCATATAGAGCTCAGAGGTATGTTTCATTATTTTAAATACTAATGGAGAGAGGAGCAAATTCCGAGATGGTAGAGTGTGGTTGGGGGCAGAAGTGGTTTTTGACTGAGGTGGAAGTGAAATGGCAAATGGCTGTTGTAGACAATGGTCTTGTATTGAAAGAGATAGCAAAGCCTTAATGCTGTAGGGCTGGTGTGGTTACTGACAGTTTGAGGAAACTCTTGTTTTAGGTTTTTACAAGTGCTGCCTTACTGCTGTTGCTTTGATGAGTTGTGCTGAATGTCCTGAGAAAAGAATCTGTTTCTAAACTGAGAGCGCACATGGCTGATCCTGGATGCATTTAAATTCCAGTATTTAATGCAGGAGGAGGACGTTTAATGCCTCAATTGGCAACGTCACTTGATAACGGTGACAATGACCAGTAAGATTTTTTTGTTCTTTAAGTGAGATACACTGAAGAAATAAGAAAATTGGGGAATATTTTCTTTTTTAACTCTTCCTCTAGAACTCCTCCAGACATTTTTTGACATGAACGTGTACAACACCTTACAGAAGAAATTGTCAATATC